TTATCGATAAAGCGATATCTAAATCATATTTTGTGATTAATAGATGATATTTACTTTATTTAAAAGAATTTGAGGTTTATAGGATATCAATGGTATTTTTTATATAGATGAAGAGTAGCTCGGCCATTCTTTTTTTCAAAGATGACGAAATTTAGCTCTAATTCATATAAAGCCCGCACCTCAAATATTTGCTTAGGAAGTATTTCTTTAATTTTGGATGATGATGCTATTGTAAAAAAATGGATTTGAAGATGGTGAATTTAAGGAATTGAAACTCTAGGGTTTCAAAGAGGAATTCTTAGGTTGTTGTGAATAAGAAAGAGTTGAATTCGAATGGTTTGAAAAGTGCTTATTTCTTTTACCTCTTTCAAATTAAATAACCACGAGCACGAGAATCCAAGATGGATAATCATTAATGATGTTGCTCATATTTAAAATTTTTGCTTATTTTTAAGCAAAATCATAAATGTTTCTTTATTATTTCATGAAAGATTATACAACAACATAGGGGAGGAGGCATTGTTGATGTCTAAAATAAACATTTCAAATTATGGACATGTGTGTAGATGTTGTCCAATAAAAGGATTAAAAGTTATACTAATCGATATTTAAAGAAGTTTTTCTATAGAGAATGGACAATTCAAACTCAATAAGTCAAACTTCGAATATTTTGTGATCAAAATTATTCTATAAGGCTTCACGAATTGTCTAGTTCAAGATTTTTCTATTTAATCTTTGTAAATTATTTAAAAGTTATATTCTGTTTAGAGTATTTGTTTACTTGTTTGATTTGAACATTGATTTTTGCCCTTATTAATATTTTTCATAGTTAAGGATCGAGTCTTAAGTCAAATTGCTTTTCCTTACTTGTATTACTAGTCTTAGGTCTTAAATGATCACTCTTATTGTATTTTCTTTAACTTGTCTCGATACAACACCTTCAATACAAACTTTCTTAATTTTTACGTAATTTATCTTACATAAATTTATAGTTTACAGCTTTATGCTTTATCATTATCCTTTTCTTATTATGTAACTTGCTTTATTTATAGCTTTATTTATCGTTGTCTTTACATGTTTTTGGTTTATTTAATTATTTTTTCTCATGTAATTTAATATTTTATTTTAGTTTTACAAGTATCTCGCTCAATGTAAATTTTAAACACTTTACTCAAATAAATTGCTATGATTTATCACTCAATATAAATTTTACAGTTTATTTAGTATATATCTCTAGATTTATCGATTAATGACTCAACGTAAACTCACATATCTACTGCTTGATGAAAAATTAATTTTTTAAAATTAATATAGACCTCTATGAATTTTATGATCGATATAATCATAGGACCTAGATCATGTTTTAATTTTTGTAACTAAATCAAGAATTAATGTATATATTTTATTTGAACAATCTTTGTTTACGTAGGATGATATTGCTAACTTTATATACGTGGACTTATGATGTCTAATTTTATATATATAAAAATCTGCATTCAGTTATTTTAGAGATAGCTATAACTTTATCATAGATTGAGTTTCAGGTATTAAAAATTTATTTCAACTTCGGAAAAAAATTGAGAAATTCACATTAGTAACAATTATAAATATTTTTTTTATCTATCAAAATAATTGATTGATCAAAACTTTAAATACTTTATTTTTATAAATACTCCTAATTAATTTTTTTTCATTTCTTATTTTTTATTAACTAAAAAGCCAATGATTATCTGAAGTGATATTTTAAAAAAATAAGGATAAAAAAATATAATTAATGTCTTTTTCAAACTATGTAAAAAAAAATTAACATTTAGGACAGAGAAAATATTATTTTCTCGGACTTCATTTTTTTTAATCATGAATTAATCAGCTAAACGATCAACTCTCTGTCCTTTGTGTCAAATCGAAAGTCACATCACATGGTAGCTCCCACAGTCCCATTTGCAGGAGAAGACAATAGTACCGCACTTCCCAGGACCCAGATGTTATTATTTTATTTTCATCGGGTACGGTTGTTCACTGCTCCTAGATTTGAGAAAGACACGTACACAACTATGGCGCTGCAAGTTATTGTCCCTTCGTGGGTTTGTGAGGTTAAAGTGGGAATACTAGTGTAGCTGAAATGCTGAAAGCAACTTCATCAACATGGTAGTTGGTACACCAGTAAATATGAATTAATTCTAGTTTTAAGAAGCCAATTAATTATTTTTTATTTTAATAATTAATTATTTAAATTTTAAATTTTCTTATAATTTAATATTTTTATTTTTTACAATTTATTTTTATATTTTGATAAATAAAAAATTAATTAAAAAAATATTTTTTGAAATAAAATAAAATTAAAATTTGACCAAAACTATCAAATAGTAAATAATTAGTTTTTGAAATAAAATAAAATAAATGAATTAATTTATTTTAAAAAATAAAAGAATGAATTTATAATTTACTCGTTGGTACACTAGTTTTCTTCTCACTTGCTTTATATATATATTTTGGATATTTCTCATTAATATTTAATAAAATAATTTAATTTTAATAAAAAAATAAAATCAAATTTTATTGAAATTAAATTAAACGCTTGAAATTCAAAATTCAAATAATTTTACATAAATTTTGACTATTTTTTTTTATTAAAATTGTTTCCAGATGACATAAACTAATTATAATTTCGCTAAAATAAAATTAAAAACACAAAACTGAAATGTCATTCAATATATAGAAGTTAATATTTAGAATATACAAAGCATATATATTATCAGAATAGAGATTAGCACACACTTTTAAGTGGTTATTCCTCTAGGGCGCTTTTATAAGGGAATCATATGTGAATTTTGTTTTTTCTACTATTAATCGCTACAAATTGTGAAATGTACACTATCAGCCGTCACCAAAACAAAGGTGCAGAATCCAACCGGTGGAAAGAAGCCAGGCTGATTTGCAATTCAAGGCCCAACATGCTGAGTCCATGAGAAAGTAGTCTTCAAAATTAAACGGTATGGTGGCAAAAATTTCATCCGTTTTATTAAAATTTGACAATTTTAAATATTTATTATAATTTATATATTTTAAATTTTAAAATGTTAATTTTTTGATAAATCTTATTCAAATTCGTTAATTGTAACAATAAACCTAGTTTATCGTTAATTTTTTTAAAAAAAGGTTAAAAATGCTTTTTCTTCATTTTTTTTAAAGAATTTTTTTTCACCCGTTAACTTATAAATAAATAAAATTTTCATTAAATTTTGCCATTAAATTTTTTTTTTGTTCCCTCTGGAAATGAGCTTTCATTTTTTGAACATATCTTTTAAAAAATAAAAATAAAATAAAATTAGAAAAGTTTTAAAAAATGATTTTCTAACTCTAACAATTTAAAATGCATATTATATATTTGAATCAATCGTATGGAAAAAAATCTTATAAAACATGTGAATATAAAAAACATATTAAATATTGGCAAGAAAAAAAATTCAGTTAAAATTAATTATATAGATATTTATATTTTATTAATTTTTGAAGTTGATTGTTTTAATGGATAATGATACTTGTATAAAAGTTATTTTTTTTAAATTGAAAAAAATTAGAGACAAATAACAATTTGATTTAGTATGAAAAATCAAAAGAATTAATATGTAAAAATTTTAAATAAAAAGAATATCTCTTTAAAAGCAGGAGAAAAACATTTTTAATATTTAAAAAATAATAAGAATGAAAAAATAAAGAATAGACCGTTACAATTAATAAATTTGAATAAAATTTATTCAAAATCAATATTTTGATATTTAAACTATACAAATTAATAATAAAAATTTATAATTATCAAATTACAATGGAAGGAATCAATTGGATTAATCTTTCGTTGTCCATTCTACTAACGTGAAGCCAGTGTTGAGTGCTACTTCAACAAGAAGTTGGCAACTGGCGATATCGCATGCTCTATATGCCAAGCTAACTCGGCAACTAAACTCAACAATTTGGCCCAGCCAATAGACATATACAGCGAGTGGATTGACGAGTGCGAGCGGGTTAATTATCTCGGTCCGTGTATCAAGACCGAAGGGAATACGGGGATTAACAATCGATATCATCATCGCTATGTCAAGACCGAATTGAATATGGCCTTTACCGATATCAAGAATATTGAAGGGAATTGAATACTTGGGCGGAGTGTCCCTATGCATTATAAATTGGATTGTTCTAAACCCATTGAGGCCCATCTCATCAGCAGAGGTCCACAGTACCTAAAAGTTGTAATGGCTCAGTTTAATCCTATTCCTAGAGGCCCACTCATATCATCTAGCAGCATTTTAATTTTTTAATTTTTTATTAAGCCTTCCAGTCTAGTGGAGTTGACCTAAAAAAAAATAGATTGGAACCTAAACGCATTTATTTTTCTCCTCTGACTTAATCTCGAAAAAATAATACTAATAATAGAGTCCGTATCAAGGTTTGCCCATAACTGAAATTGGTCAAAAGAATTTAATGCGATGGAGCGAAGCTGTGACACTTTTTTCTCCTTATCATGAAGCTGTGATCCTTAGTGATTCAATTAAAATATGATCAATATGTTTAGTTATGTCATTAGACCAGGCGATCATGTGCCTTTTTTCTTATTTGTTTGAAATGCAACAAACTATAACTAAAGGGTTTGGCCGGATGGTTGATGAAATGGCGAATGTAATCTATGAGCAAGAAAAACAGTGATTGAAATTATGGAGTGAGGATTCGGGCTAATCCAATTTGTCCTGACAAAAAACTAAAACTGATACAGAAATCGAAGTGTAAAAAAATCACAGCAATTATAGGGTCAAAAAAAAATAGAAAAGAAGGATGAAGATATTTAACGCATCGAACTATGTCCCAGATGTACATGTAATGTTCAAGAATCTCTACAAAATTCAAAATTTCAAGAAGAGGTTTCTGTTCCGTGTATTCTCGCAGGATTAGATGAAACATTAGCATTAGATACACTACAACCATCTGTCTTGAGAAAATGACTTCTCTTACCAAGGTTTCAGGTCCCCAACTGGTCCCGCAGTCCAATTCAAAATATTTTGACCAGGCTTCAAATAAACAGTCCTGTCGTGCGGCAACTTACGAGCAAGCCCATTTAGTATTTGGTGGAAAGCATCACCTGGTTGAGCAGGTTGTGGGAATAACATTGCACGTTTCATGGAAGGATTTGCAAGAAGTCTTTGTTTCCTTAAAATCACTTCTGGTGGTATAGATGTAAGGATTGTGTCTAGGTTAGGGACATCTTCCTCAGCTACAAACACCCCAATTTCCTCCCATGGTATAGCATCGGCAAATGGTAGAACAATATCATCTGCTATGATGACAGGAATGCATCCAAATACCACTGCTTCAACTAGTCTAGGACTCCATGGGGCCCAACCGAGTGGGCACAAGCAAAATATAGCTCGTTGCATGTCTTCATAATATGTTTTTGGATGATCAGTGGAGATGTCAAAGAGTGGATTGTTCTTGAAGTTCTCCCAAACTGCAGCCCTTGCTCCTCTGTCAGTCAAACAAAAGGTTAGCTAATATATATAAGCCCCCGCAGCCTCACAGGAGCCATACAAGATGTCCGAGCCAACAGATTAGCAACAAGATCATCCATAAATTCTTAGATACAGACTATAAGTCTCAAAGCACATATTTAGCAGAGGAACGAGGACCTGAATCTTGAATATGAAATTCACTAAAAGTCTAAGTTCACAGGAGGATGTGAAGACACAGCGTTATTAATCTGAAATAAGGCCTACTCTGATGACCAAACATGGGATACTACTTGGGTTCTAAAGGGTTTAATGGCTACGTAATAATCTAAATTCATTAAATCTGTATTTCCTTACATATAAGATTGAATGTTTGGTGTTATCTGTTTCATGAGAGTATTGTTTCTTGGTCTAGACTATAAAAACCAAACTATATTAGGTTAGGCAAATTGCAATTTGCTACTTTCAAAAGATCAGCACAAGCATACCTTGCATAATAACCACCTTCTGGATCGTTATTTACATCATAAAACAATCCGCGGAAGTAGACAAAAATGGACCGTGGATTGTCAAGGGGAATCTGGCGGGCCTGCATCTTTTCGGGAGGAGCATAAGGGGGATTGTTATTGACCCCTCATTCAAGCACACATGGTTTCGTTGCCCAAAAGTTTGAACCAAAGTAGCACGCTGGAGTAGCGGAAGAATGCCCCGCTCAACGGCTTTCTCTTCCTACAATATTTGAGCAAGCAAAAACAATAATAAATGAGTCACAGCTAGTACAAATTGTTTGCTTGATTAATGCAAAATAGAGGATCAAAAAGTTCATAGCACTTAAGAGGTCTTGGTTTTAAATGGTTCCAGTGGGGAATCAGATAAAAGTTACAAGCCCCATAAAACCTTTTTGACATATCTATCAAGTATGGAAGCAGAAACGATTTAGCTGAGAAATAAAATCTTAATTCAGTTGACATGTTCAGTCAAAATCAATTCCGTCATCAAGCTTCATATATCATAATGCCATTGGTGGAGGATCACATTACGCTGGCTTTAGAAAGTTTTATCATTACCAATCCCCCTTGGGGACATTGTGGATTGGTAGCCGGCCTGTGTGATCAGCAGGGAGAGCCAGGTTCCACCCAACCCCACCCTAAAAGACCAAAAAGGAAAAAAGAAAAAAAAATAAAAAGTTGTAGCAGCAAGGGCATGGAAAAAAAACTGAAAGCTAACCACTGTTTGAAACAACTGAGAGAAGCAAGGGGGACTACATGGAGAGGCAGGGACCATGTCTGACAATATGGTATTATTTGTTATAGACATATTAGAAAATATAAGCACCCATTGTGTGTAGAACATGAATGTTTAATTATCCTGAAATTAAATCTTCTCTTTTTATTCCCCCTCTCCAGGTCCAATAATGAATTCAGAAATTTTAAGGGTCTCTAGATGCACATTCTTGAGTTTAAATTAGCATTAAGTACCAGGGCCCTTCGAGCTCACACACACTAGTCAAAATCTAATCACCATGAAGCCAAAGCTACACTTACCAAAATCTCCATTGCCTAATTATGCCGCCAATGGCAACATCTCAATGCAGAATACAAAATCAATACCTAATGAAACTGAGAAGTCACACTAAAAGGGACAAGAACACGATGAATTTAAGCATGTAGTGTAGCTTGATGACATCAAGATATTTTTGTTCTTTCAAAATGGGGCAAGATATGGTTACTAAGAAAGTATTATCCAACAGCATTAACAGTCCTACCTGATAGTGGAAGCAGGCTCCAAAGTCATGGGGCACAACAAAGAAGTGATCAGCCCCTTCCGTACGATTCCAGTAAGGCCAATTGGAGGAGATAAGCTGTATCGCACTTCTCATCATCCTAGGAGATTTGAAGGGCAATGGCAAGCCCATAGGTGTGAGGTCACAAGTGGGATATATAGGGGTATAAAACCAATCTGCTTCATCTGGATTAAGGGTTCGAACTGGGCTGGATAAGAGAAATCTATGCATGAAAATTTCAGCAGCAAACATATGGGTGAGACATCTGGGGTCCTTCTGCAGTAATTTCTTGTTGTATTTACTAGGAAGCTCATAAACATAGACTTTCAACCTTCCCACTGGATCATCTTCCAATACATCCCCAGCACTTCCTGCATTATTGAAACCCAAAGCACATTTTGTTATTCATATCATGCCTCAGAGTCAATAAAGCAAACTGCTCAAGAGAATTTAGACTGATTAGATTTCCTGACAATTCCATAGGGCTCCATTTTTGCAGAAAGATAAAAGAATTCATAGAAGAATAGATATCAGCATCTTGTGAAAGTTAAGTCTGACCAAAATTTGCACAAGCAATGTCAGAAGGAAAAAAGAATGCATTCACTGGCAGGCACTACATTCATAATAGATTTGTTGCAATTCATAAAGCATAAATGCATTACAATAAGTAAACAAAATCCCCTTGCATCCAAACACAAGGAATGTTGAAACGGCGCATAAAGAAATATCGTTCATGTCAAAATATATATCCCTAAAAAAATTACAGAAAAATTTAGCAAGCAGACTTTCCCTCGCATCATGGTTTTTGAAGATGAGAATTGAATTCTCTCATATGGAAAATCTTTAGTTTTCTACCAATTAAATGAGACAAATAGGCTGGTCCATGGAAAAAGGCTCAATAGAAATCCTGGAGAATTAGGTGAACATGTCCTCTAACTCCAAATTAAAAGGGCAATAATCCATATCCCAGCCCTGAACTAAATATCAACAAATTCGTAAAATTCCAAGACTTAATTAATTAATTAATTTGCACATGCCTAAAACCAAATGTGTTAAAACTTCTACTCTTTACGTTCATATGACATTCTGACTCATTGCTTCAGATGCCAAAAATTCAATGCGGAGCTGTATCCATAAGAAACGTGCAGAAAGACCCCATTCTCTATATTGTATTCTTGCAAAACTTCAAGTTGTAAAATCAAACTAAGCTATAGCATTGTAAAAACGCTACAGCAAACAATACCAAATGAAATCTAACAAAAACACATCAAACAGAACCTACAAAAGAACAGTTTAAATCCACTACAAAGTAAGACATTAGGAGATAAAAGAATGCCACCTGAAATCCTCTCTGTGCGTACCCTTTGTTCAGCCCTTTTTCCATCACCAAGACCGAAAACAAGAACCACAACAAAAACCCACAAGCATGTCCTCATTTTTCCAGTCCCCAACCAAAATTTCGACTAAAACCGAACGGGCCTTCCGGGTGAATCCAGAAAGAGAAGTAAAAGGCAATATTTATGAAGAGTCTATGGTTGGTATGTCATATTGAGGAGTAGTTGAAGAGTTTACTTAGAGTTTGGGCTATGGGACTGAATGCGAAAATAAAAAAGATCGTTTTTCCAGATTGAAAGGGAAAGAAGCAGAGAAGAATTTGCTTGAAGAAACAGAGAAAGACAGCATTTTTTTTTTCTTTTAACATTTAAATGCAGCGAACAACAACAACGTACAAATCTTAGTATATTTGTGGGTTAAGTGAAAGCTTTGTTTGTTTTGCCGGTTTGATGACAGGTCTATCTCATTGCCTTTGATTAACTAACAAAAAACCTCTCACCTCTTTGGCTCCAATTTTTAAGTCTATGGTGGTTTGCTGTGCCCTATATGCGGCGCCGTTTTGAAGTTTCTCTTTTTTCTTTTAATTTTTTAATTCCATCAGATGCAAGCTGTTTAACGTAGGGGGTTCAATTATTTTCAAAACTGAATCGTATTTTACTTCCCTATTCGTTGATGTTGAATTGGTTGTGTAGTAGACTTTTAGTACGAAAGAATCTCCAGTTCTCCATGTCAAGGTGTCTTAGATATCATGAAATAGTTGCATTTGGTTTAAAAAATTTTGGCATTTGATATTCTATACACATCACATTCTTCGCAAATCAAGGAATGCAATGTCCTTTTTAAATAAGAGAAATCACATTTTATCAGGTAGAAAATATCAATTTTCTAATTTCTCAACCCAAATACCCTTAAAATCAATATTAAGTGGATTAGCATTATTTTTTTAATAACAACAAAAGGTGTTTTATTCTTAGAATCATAATTTTGAGTATAATATATTTCTTATTTTGAGAAATTGCATGTTATATAATTTGTTATTAAATAAATCATTTTGCTTAGCAGATATTATTGATGTAATATGCATGTGATTATGGATATAATTATTTCTTTTTAAAAAAATATAACATTGTTAAATTAGATAGTTTAAGCCTTAAGGATTAAATAGTAATTTTTTAAAATGCTTTATAAATTTTCTAATATAAAGCAAATATAGTAAAAACACATCATTATAAATGTTTATTTTCAATCGAAAATGAAAGAAAATGAAAATCACATTCCAGTAAGTCATTTAAAAATCTAAATACCAAATGTTCTAGTAATTCTTTGAAAAATTACGAATATAAGGATGTTTATCATGTTAAAAAGAAGATAATTTAAATAATTCAAACAAAAATCTGTTTTTTTAATTATTATTGTAAGAAATTATAAGATAGTAAACTCTGTTTTTTGTTATTTTTTTGGTCACACGATAACCTCTCGATGATCATAAAAATGAAAAGTATAAAAGTAAAAGCTAAAAAAAATCTAATATTGATTTTAAGAGTTCTAAGTAAAGGGATTGATTACACAACTGGAGAAAACTACAAGTCACTCTATTGAACCATCGCAATGAGCTTACCTTGTATTTTTAGTTTAAGAGAATTCATTCATACAAGTTACCTTACCTTACTATCCTTATTTGCATGTTTGATTATTTGAGCTTTCTAACGAGCTCTAAAAGAGATGATTTGGAGACCGAAAAAACTCGCCTCTCACCTATATTCATTGGGTCATTGGATTACACTTGGTAATGTAAAAGTTAGGGCTTGTGTTGCAAATAAACAACCCAAAATTTCACATGAAAACATAAAAATATAAACCGGGCTTAGATTTTATGACCAAGTTCACTCGTCAAACCACATAATAAAAACAAATTACAATAATCTATAATAACTAATCCAGAAAAGTAGGTGTGGGCCTCAAGCGCATATCCTCCCATCATGCCACATTAAAATACTAATTTAGGCTTTAAAGCCCAAAATATAATTTAAAGGCAATTCTACAAAACAACACAATTAAAATTAAACCAAATAAAAAAATAAAAATGATAATAAAACATAATAATAATAATAATAAAAAAAGGTTTGTCATTGGAACAAAGTCGGTCTTAAGTCCTAAACCTACTCCATCTAAACTAACCTAGAATGGCATAAGGTAAAATAAACATACAAAGTGCAAGAAATAATAAAATTAACATTTAAAAATCACAAATCATATAAGACGACACCATGAAAAATAGAACGATCAATAAGCCTCCACAAGGTTCTTAGACGATTAATTTCGATATCATTGACCCATAATTCCCCGGAGACTTTTTTTTCATCGAAAATAAAAATAATATACAATATGTCAAACTCTTAATCCTTTTTTTTTAATAAGAAAATAATAATAAAAATATATATATTAGAAAACAAAAATAGATAAGAGAAAACAAAATCAAGAAATATTGACACTCCTTACCACATAAAAATTAAATGATTTTAATTCAATTATTTATCCAAATATATTGTTAATTATATAATAAACATCACTAGCACTAGAATTAAAGAAATAATCAAGCAACACCAAAACTTGGATGAAAATTAAACCAAAATAAATTGAAGACGAAGAGGTACGAGTTAGCAAAATCGAAGGTCAATGGCTAAAATGGATGAAAGTTCACTAAGGATGGCGAGACCGAAAGCGGCGAGTGGAAGTTGATAGGTGATCAAAATGGAGCATTTTAAGTGGCATTGGGATTGTCTTGAATGAAAGATTCGGGTGCTTCGTTGCTTGTCAAGAGACGATGGTTAGACATTGAGCGGCGAGACCTTTTTTTTTTTTTTTTTTGGCTATTAGGTGTTGGCTTGCTGTCAATGTGTATGTGTGCGTATTGATAAGGTAGAATCTGTTTATAATGCTACCTAGGTCGATTTAGGGTAAATTTTCCTATTTTAAGGAGCAATTGGGTTGGAAAACCCAAACAGACTAAGCTTGGGGCTAACGTGCCTTGGTCGTCCAGTGCTAGGATTTTTTTTAATAGTTTAGAAAAAAATTTTATTTTTGTTTTTTTGTATTTTTATGGGGTATAAATAGAGTGATGACGAGTTGTTTCATATTTACAATACTTGTTTGTCAAGGATGTAGTAAGAGATTTCTTCATAAATATTGAGTTAATAAGCTTGTAACGAAGAGATATGATTAAAAATAGACAAATTGGTCGACTATTACAAAATGACCTCCTAGCAATCGGTTCGCTATGATATGACAACCTCTTGGCAAATGGTTCATTATAACAAGATGACCTTTTGGCAACCAATTCACTCGACATAGTGAACTCCTAGCAAATGGTTCACTAAGATAGAATAACCTCCTAGCAACTTTCAAAACACTAGTTATCCCGATAAGGTGACCACTTGAAATTTTTTGAAACTAGTCACTTCAATAAGGTGACCACCTAAATATTTTTTCAAAATTTAGTCATCTTAATAGGGTAACCTCCGAAAAATTTTAAAATTGGTCATACCAATAAGGTGACCACCGGAGGTGAGCAAACTTTGATTAAAATCAAAAAACTAAATCGAAATGAAATACTTATTTTGGCTCACTTTTTCATTTAAATTTATTTAAAAAAAAAACCAAAATTATATTGATTTTTGGTTTCGGTTTCTAAAAATTTTAAATCGATGTCCACTGAAAACCAAACATTATATCTAATTTTATTTTATTTAAATTAAAATGAGCTTATAAATTTTTAAAAATGAAGTTTGGCTTATAGGTTTTTATTGGACTTCTAGAACTTCAACGAAGAACCCATAAGAGGCCACAGATTTTAAAGCCTAAAAGCCTACACTCTACCGACCACAACCCACAAGAAAAATAGAGGAAGTTTGGCTTTATTTATAAGCCAATCCCCACCTTTCAAAAGTGAAATTGACTTATGTGGGATAAAGGGATGTTGAAAAGTTGAGTTCACTAACTCACAATCCCACATCGAAAATGAACAATTTTTAAGAGTTTGAAAGGTTTATAAATGGGCATTTCATTAACAAAAAATAACCAACATACAAGTCATCCCACATTGAAAAATAACTCACCGGCATGAGTTCAAAAACTTCATAAATATCAAAGGTCGTGGGGTAGTGAACTTGTGCTTTATGTATCACTTTCTCTTGGTTTGCTTTGAGCAAGTCTTCGGGTATTTTGTTAATCAATGACAATTTTTGATAATTTTGGTTAATATTTTAAAACTAAAATATTTCAAAACCAAAATTTAACAATTGAATTATAACCTAAATTATAATTGGTTTGGTTCGGTTATCATTTTATTGTGTTTGGTAAACCAAAAATCAAACTAAAATTGTTAAAAATCGAATAAAAAAACCATCACCCCCGATAACCACTTGGAGGCTTTTTTTAAAAAAAAATTTAGTCATCTCGACAGAGTGACCACTTAGAACTTTTTAAAACTTGGTCATCTTGACAAGCATGACCACTTGGACATTTTTCTTCTTGTTGTTTTTTTTTTTTTTGGAATTTGATCATCGTACTAGGGTGACTTCCCGAACAATTTTGAAAACTTGATCATCTTGACAAGGTGACCACCTAAAATTTTTTGAAAAATTAGCTTATGACGAATAACCTTAAAAGGAAAGGTTTGTTCATTCTCATGCTTAGTTATTTTTATTTTTAGTAGTGACGGATTGTGGGTTCTATGAGAATAGTACCTTCAAGAAAAGTCCAGGTTGCACCTTGTAAAACTCAACTCTTCATCTCGAGTTTAGAGAACTAGATCATATCTAGTGTCTTGATCGTTAGTTTTTAGAGCTTTTAAAAGAGATATCGCATTCGATTTGTTATTGTTCCACTCTCTACCCATAAAAATATGATTCCACCCTTTATCATTAGGTCATATTACCCCTAATTACGATCATGGCTTTTGAATCAATCTACATGTCCTTTTGTTTATTATAGTCTTTATGAAAAGATGTTGATATGTGTTGAACTATGTTTGACCCTAAAATAGGTCACATTGCTTGCCATTAGTTTATGTCCTGCTATTTTCATATTGTCTAGATTTCAT